GTCATGCTCCGAAATCCCGAGAATACAACTCTTACTTATCAGAGCATTGTACCCCCCAAGTTTCTTTAAATAAGTTAACCCTTTTGTTAGTAGAAAACAATTTGGATCGGAGTTTAGCAGTTGACCAAACAAAAATAAATCTGAGTTTAGTCGTGGAAATATTTAAAACGAAACATGAAATTAAAATATTTTATTTAAAATAACCTACAAGGTTACAATTAATTATGGACGTAACCTAAAGTACGTTTATAAAATCAATACATTTAAATCATAACCTCAACAGACTATACAAAATGTTCACATGTTTCACAAACTTCAAGACAAAACAAAAAATTAAAATGAATTAATGACATGAGCTCCCAAAAAATATAAAGTGGGTAACTAGCCAAATTTGTAATGCATTTTGCATTAGAGCATCCGCAATCATGCTCTTTAATTTTTCATTAAAATTTAGCTAAAAACTTACAAAAGCTATTTTAGAAGCTCTCTATTAAATTTGAAATTCAATCATACTATACTCCCTAGCTTAGGGAGTCATAAATACTATAATTATTTTTTAATTCAATATAAATGGTCCATCTTTAAAATAAAATTAAAGAATAACTAACATTAATTAAAGGGTTAAGTACTTTTTTTGTCATTGGGTTTTACATGAAAATTCAATTTGGTCACTAAGAAAAAAATTTAGCCAAATTGGTCACCGTGTTTTCCTAAGTTTACAATTTATAGATGTTCCATTATCTTCACTTAAGTGCAATTTTTATTTTCATTTTTTTAGAAGGCACCTTCAATCTTCTTCCTCAGCATCCGCAATCATGCTCTTTAATTTTTCATTAAAATTTAGCTAAAAACTTACAAAAGCTATTTTAGAAGCTCTCTATTAAATTTGAAATTCAATCATACTATACTCCCTAGCTTAGGGAGTCATAAATACTATAATTATTTTTTAATTCAATATAAATGGTCCATCTTTAAAATAAAATTAAAGAATAACTAACATTAATTAAAGGGTTAAGTACTTTTTTTGTCATTGGGTTTTACATGAAAATTCAATTTGGTCACTAAGAAAAAAATTTAGCCAAATTGGTCACCGTGTTTTCCTAAGTTTACAATTTATAGATGTTCCATTATCTTCACTTAAGTGCAATTTTTATTTTCATTTTTTTAGAAGGCACCTTCAATCTTCTTCCTCTAACTCAACGAGTTAGGGTATTTTGTGTTATTAGAGCACTTCCACCCATTTGCCATTGCAAAAGGGCAAGGGCAAGGGCAAGGTAAGGGCTATTACTATTCACATGAATAGTGGCAGCCCTTGCAAAAGGCTTGTGGTGTTCCACCCATTGCCATGGCAACCCAAAGGCAACCACTATTCACATGAGATATGAGGAGAGGAATTTGTAGAGAGTTTTGGTGTGGGAAGTGAAGAATATGAATAAGTATTTATTTAAAAAAATTCTGAAATTCTTAGTATTTTTTTAGATTTTTTTTTAAAAAAAATTCGTTGTTGACGTTAGCAAACCCAGGCAACAGCCCAGGCTATTCTTGCATTTGGGCCAGCCCAGGCTTGTGGAGCCCCCCAGCTGCCCTAGCTGCATTTGCCCGCTGGAAACACTTTTTGGGCCTAGGCCTCCCCTTGCCCAGGCAAGGGGTTGCACATTGGAACTGCTCTTAGGGTTTAATAAACTGGGGGGAAATCTTGGGTTGAAATCGAAATTGTGAGGTATGAGGAAAATAAAAATGCCGAAGCAAATTAAAATGAAATCAACGACTTACCAATATATTTTAGTGCTTTATCACCTTGATTATGTCTCCTTGCCATCCAAAGCCACAATACGATTCTCACTCAATCGATTCAAGCTTCAATATAGCATCCAATTTATGACCTTATACCTCACAATTCTGATTTCAACCCAAGATTTCCCCCAATTTGTTAAATCCTAATAGCACAAATATAAAAATAAAAATAAAAATAAAAAGCCTGCACGTAACGGAAGATGACGAAATTTCTATAAATTGTAAAATTTGAGAAACACAATGACTAAATTGACTAAAACAATTTTCTCAGTGACCAAATTGAATTTTCATGCAAAACCTAATGACCAAAAGGGTATTTAACCCTTAATTAAAAGGTTAAAAAATTCATAAAACAAAGCATAATTAAATTATAGAGAGCCACCACTAGGTTCTTTCTCTCTCCTCATATTTAGGAGCTCTTAGAGGTCTCCCTATTTTAGGAGGTGGATAGGGAGCATGGTTGGAGTTGTATTTTTCCCTAAAATTTATCTAAAGAGGTAATTTAGGGAGCCCATTGCGGATGCTCTTATAGAATCAAAAGATAACATATTCATCGAATGACCTCAAGATCGCAAATCAAAGTCCTTCATACCATAGTACCTGAAAGATTTACACATAGGGGTAGGTATCACCAGGGGCGGATGCACGTTGGGACAAGAAGGGTCGCACGACCCCTTGGGATGCCAGAAATCTGGATGTGGACTCCATGTGCGACCCCCTGGACAATAGCAGAGCGACCCTTTGTGTGCACACAAGGTGCTCGATGAAAGTCCCCTGTGGGCTTGCCTTGTGCATCGCCCAGCTGTTGCTCTCACGCAAGGTGCAATTTTTGGCCAAAGAACATCGTTTGGTCCAGGACTCATTCAATTTTTTTAAATTAACCTGGCCTCAAAACTACATCGTTTTGGGGCCTATCTTTTAAAACAAAAACATAACAAAAGATCATCCTCCTCCCCTCCCATTTATCCGACTCCACAGTACATCCCCAAACCCTTTCATTCCCAAATTAATATCTCACAACCCTAGGAGCCCCAACCTCCCAACCTCCACCACTACCTCTTCGCCGGCGCCGACCACCATAGCCTTGTGCTGTCGCTGTCTTTCTAATTTTTTAATGTTATTTTCTTTGTAGGAAAAATTTCGACACTTTTACACTAATACTCCTTGGCCCGAAAATCTTGAATCCGCCATTGGGTATCACATACGTTCATAAGCCCTTCTCCCTACTACTATATTGAGATCGTAGAGTTTATCTTAAAACTAATAATAATGCATAACGAAAATTTTGCATTTAGTTTTCAATAAGACAAGGATGCTCAATCAACTTTTGAAATCAAGTTTTTTGGCCCAGTGTCATTACTTGATAATTGATCTATAAAGCCAACTACCCTTACAATAGATTAAATTATTTAACTTCTATGGTAAGGTAGCGAGATTGCCCATTTTGAAGTTATATATCTCATAGTCTATCCCCATCCGCTTTGATTGTAACTAATTAGTCAACATAACTTGTAGGGTTAAGGTATCGAATTCCAAGGCCCACTGCATGTGACCCTTCACCCTCAAGTTATCATAATAATGATCTTTGGATATCACATCGTACAAAGAAGATATCCATTACCAACAAAACTAGACATAGGGATGCCAAATAAAAACAATGCAGATTTTTCCGTTCATTCATATCTATTTATGTTCACACACACATAAGAATATAAGATTTGGATTTTAATGTTGCAGCCTAGCCCCACACAGATCACATTTTAAACTTGATCCATCTCTCCTGCATCAATTCCAAAATCATCTTTAGATTGTATCGAGTTCATTCTTCCGACTTCGGTTCTTACCGGACATCCACCAACAGTTCATCATACCTATACCCATTGTCGACGCTACCCTTAGTGACCGTTGTCTTCTCCGATCATTGACTCACCGGTGTTGAGTTCTTGTCACCCTTGAAGAATGATGTAGCATAACCAATAATCCAGATTGAATTGGGATTTAGACCATTGCTTATTTGGTTTCTTGTTTGTTGTTGATTTCCAGTCTTATTATTTCGGATTAGTTTTTCTATTATGAGGGAATTATTTTTCTGTTTTTCTATTCCTAGTAGGATTAGCATTACTTTCCTATATCTCACAAGGTTAGGTGATCAACTCCAGAGAGGCAAACACAAATTTAGGATGGGATGGCCCAAAACAACTCCCAACCCTTGTATAAGGAAGGCTAAATTTGACAAAGGAGGGACTCGCAACACTATTTGAGGGGGACTGGATTATGATTAATCCTGTCCCAGCTTAATCTAATTATCAAAGGTGAGACTGGAGTAAAGTAGTCCAATCCCATGCTTTATCTTGCGCAACAAACAAGAAAAGAATTGCTTTTGGTGCACTATTTATCAATAAGCTTTTTGCACTCCAACCAATGTTTGGTGACTAAAATTGGATATTGCAGTGGAATTGCATTGCATTTAATTACATTACATTTGATTTTTAATATAATTGAATTAAATTACATTTCTAGGTTAAAAATAAAGAGAGAAGAGAAAATAATTACTTGTATAACAATAAGAGGATCAAAATTGGAGGAGGTGTTGCAATTGATGGAGAGAAAAAGTGATTGTGTGATGAGGTCCTAGCTCAGGCAGCACACTGACAGTGGAATTGCATTGCATTTAATTACATTACATTTGATTTTTAATATAATTGAATTACATTACATTTCTAGGTTAAAAATAAAGAGAGAAGAGAAAATAATTACTTGTATAACAATAAGAGGATCAAAATTGGAGGAGGTGTTGCAATTGATGGAGAGAAAAAGTGATTGTGTGATGAGGTCCTAGCTCAGGCAGCACACTGAGGCAAGGCATCTTGATCCGTGGGGTCACAGTACCCCCAGTTAAATTCTCTTTTTCATTTTGAGATTTACTACCCACCCTTTGTAGTTGGGGGACCCTACTAACCCGAGGGTAGGGGCGTGTTTTGTGCGACTTCACCACCACCAAGGTGAACAGTCCAAGACTATCACACCTCACCTGGGAAGGTTTCAATCAAGCAACCAATTACTAAAATGCCTTGCTTAGTTACAAACTCACGCCGCTAGGCTTGGCAACATTGGGTGTTATGTAATGCCCTGCTTAGGTACCTTTTGGTTTTGATGGACCAGGCAAAAGCATAAGCAAGTATAATAGAAGAAAGTAGAGTTTCTGATAGGGGTTTACGATATATGCCTATTTGGTTTTTATAATGAAAGAGATTCTCAAGCATGTGAGTTTAGTTTAGGAGTAAAATACATATACAGGTTATTTTTGGGACTGTTTTACATATCATCTGATGTATTTGTCATCCCTCACTGAAACCAGCTAGGTTACTACAAGCACTTGGAACACTCACAAAAGTTCCCTGATTTGGTTTCACTCCATTATCCACCAGCATTTTTGAAAAAATCTTCAATGCTTTTTCATTTTTTCCATCTTGTACATACCCTGTGATCATCTTAGTCCATGAGATGACATTCTTTTGCGGCGTTTGAATAAACAACTCCTTCGCCCGCTTTAAATCCCCATTCTGAATGAAACCAGTAATCATTGTATTCCGTGATGGCATGTCTCTCCCCGGCATGATTCAGACATTACAAATGGAGTACGAGTTTGGTTTCACCTGAGAACCATAACGCATCTTCCATATTCACTGTTGCAAAACCTTCAAATAGGAAACTCGGAGCTGTAGAAGGTAATTGGTTTAGGTCAATGAGAGTCGCAATGCACCATAAATGGCTTTTCTTTTCTACGTGCAGATACATTAGTGAATCTAATTTAACCCCATATTCACTTATTAGCTCTCCTCAATTTACTTTAATATTGCAAGAATCTTGCAGTAAATCATCCCAGTTCATATTGAACTTCTCTTCAATCAACTGAGCCTCAGTTCTGGCTTCTAACGGCTTTAAATTCCTATAAAGATTCTTATGAAGTTTTACAAACTAACTCCTGTACAACCACTTGTCAGTGCACATACCATGTTCCCTCATAAAGTCAAATACCTCCATCACTCTCTCAAAGTAGCCACCATGAAGACAGTTCAGTAGCAAGTACTCATGTAGATCTCTGCTTACCACCAAATTTCCACTCTCCATATCCTCTTAATGTTCCCCCACAAGATCGCATATAACAGATAGGTAAGTGTTTGCTCAGTGGGTTGAACTTTCATCTCTTGCATTCTTCTGTACATCTTCAATGCATCATCCATCATTTGGGCCTTGCAGAAAAAGTTGATGGAAGAATTGAACTGGTAAACAACAGAAGGGATTTCCTTCTTCTCATCCACTGAAAAATTCATAAAGTCTGAATGAGAGAGTTGACTGAAATACATTAATCTGTAACCATTATGATCAGTTTTCAATATTCACTTGTTCATAGAAGGCAATCTCTTTGAGACACAGAGGGTATGCTTTATGTTCCAATTATGCAGTAATTAATAAAAATCAGCTAGTTTATCAATCAATATGTTCTCAGAAAGTTAAATGTTTCTGGGAACAGGCAAATTATTGTACGACTTAACAAGATTGAGCAAATTTCACATTACCAAATACCACAAGAAAGAAGCACGGGTGACCAAAAGTTTCGCAAAGCTATACGATTCTCAGTGAACAAAAGTTAGAAGTAATCCTTGACAAGCCAAAAGAAAAACCATTAGACCTCTAATTATGGCCTAAAATTTTGAGAGAAGAATTATTATTGGAAAGGGTAAATGATTGGCAATAATTCCTAAAAAAATGTCAAGATAAGAGCACAGCACAGGAAACAATTACAACATTTCCATAGGTCACGCTAAGAACACAATACGTACCTTGTCACAATGCAACAATCAAGTTATCCCTTGCAGTTGAAAAGGGACTATCCACCGCCAGGCTAGGAAAATATCGATAAACAGCCACCAACTCTAGGAAGCTGAAAAAGGAGGATGATTTGTTTTGTCAGAGTAAAGGGCCAAAATCATCATAAACAGACACATCCGGAGAAAAATATCAAAACAAATAGCTGATGATCCTTTGTAGCATGCAAGATCACCCCAGTAGATCAAACATCGGTGGCATCATCTTCATTTCAGTATCCTTGTCCATAACAATTCTATTTTCAGAATCCTCAGAGAATTACCCCAGAGGCCAGAGGGAGCCCACACTTTGCTCTCATCTTCACTATCAAATCATGATAAAATCCAGTTGCCTCGGAAAGGAATGTTTTAAACTGCAATCTTATTTTTGTAATCCGATCAGGCCGAGCAGGGCCCTTCACAGCCTGAGATAAGTTTGAACCTGCATCGATAAAAATATGAAACTATCAAGGAGAGGATGAAGAACATAAAAAAAAAAAACGAAGAAACAAAGTTGTCCCACATCAATAAAAATCGCTCCTCCTTATAAGTGTGAGTCTACCACGCTAGTTTGTCCCATTGGAAAAGGAAAAAGATAGTTTTCCCTGTCCCTTCTGAACATGAAAAAGTATCCCTTCGAAAAGAAAAAAAATGGATGTCGTGAATCCATCTCGATAATTGGGAGGGCAAATTTGACAGAAATGAACAAAATTGCATGAGGGGGGGTCCCTTAAGGTTGTCAAATTGACTCCGGATTTCATGCCTCATGGATATCAAATCGAATCAAATGTAGGAAAGGAAAAGAGATGGATAAAAACCCCACCGGATCAAATGTGGAAAGGAAAAGAGATAAAATAGATATAAAAAGTCATCTTCTAATAAAATCCAAATCCGCAAAATTATAACTCACAAAAATACACTATAATATAACCATAACCTATTTGTGATATCTAAGAGTTTCCTGACTTTACATCTGCAACTAAAACAAAAATCATGACGGATATCCATTCAGAAAATTGAACACTCTTCATACGATTTTTATGCAGAAAATAGTGATAATCCATAGGCTAATGAATGATAAATACTCTGTTCAATCCTAAAAATTGTAAGCTGTTATATTTATGAGTACCTTAATTCTGAGATATATTTGTGCATAGAAACTTGCTACTACAAATAAACAAACCATCATGATGATTATCATGTTACAATTCTACATATGAGGCTTTGACCAAGCTGATTTAGTTAACTTGACTATCCAATTATCACAATCTGAACTCAACTCTAAGTTGTAAGTTTGCAACTAGCAACCAGTACCTTGGGTGGGGGACTCATCATCACATTAGGGGTGATAATCAAATCAAATCATATCTTATGAATTGTAGACTAAGATTAAGATCTTCTAGTTTCTAAACCTGTACCAAACTTAGGAGGTCAAGGCACAGAAGGTAGACGACGAGGACCACTTTGACTTTGAGTGTAAACTGTAAAGTGCAGAAACATTCACTTGGTTGATATTCTTGCACTATCAACCTGAATTTAAAAATAAAATAAGTCCCTCCATCTTATCCATGACCTCCACTCATCTGCAAATATACATGGCTCAGAATCAAGGGGAAAAAAGTGCAGATATTGATTTAAGTTGCAAGAACAAAATTTAAAAAATCTACAGTATGCTCAATAATAGAAAACTCTGCAACAATAACATTTTTAACTTAATTTGTCAGAGAAACGGAAGACCAAAAAGAACCAATTATGAATGCCCCATCTCATTCAAAAAACAATTACCACTATAGATCCTGAGCATCTTGCATTCTGATTTCATGAAAGATGAAAACAAACAATCAAAAGCATGCCGCCAAATCTTTATTACACTAAATTGACTTAACGCTGACATCAATATATTTGGAGCAGGAACATCTAAAAGACAGATAATTCGCAGAAGAGAACCAATTCCTCCCAAAATAAAGGGCATGCCCAGCACAAGAATAGACTTAAAGGGACTGTCCTAAATAGTCTAGCATGCCTTGCAATTGATTTTTTGAAAAAGTATTTAACTTCAATGATAGCAATGAGTTTGCCGCAATCATTGCAGTCATCCTTTGAAGTTCCGAAGAAAAAGGCAAATTGCCAAAAGGTAGATGGGATTCAAATGAGGTTGCTAATGTGCACGTAATTGATGGCTACCTAATTGTGCCTTATCATTACTATGGGTGAATAAAAAAACAGTTTTGTTTATTGTGACACACTAAATAGAAGAAATCATGGCCAGTGACAATCTCACATTGAATGGTAGCCAGATACTTTGGATTTCTTCTGTACAAAACTTTGCCTGCTTTCTGAAGAGATCATGTTTGTAGGAAATGTCAACAGAATTTCACAATTCTACATATCTCCAATAGTAAAACAATATTGTCAGTGAATTTTAATGAACTTTCTCAAACTGATACAAGTCCCTTGGTAACCTATTAAAGACAACAGGAAACTCACAACAACAACAAAAAATCAATATGAACATATTTCCAGAATTGAGCTTGATTTTGAAGCTGGGCCTCACTACTTCCTCTTGTAGGCTACTTTTTATAGTTCAGTCTTACCTTTGGCGTAAGTTTTATTATGAATCATAATCAACAAAGAACAACTAATCTCAGAAGATACTAGCAATCAAGAATATCCTATCTGTCTTCAATAAGTTTCTCACATTCGCCTCTCGTCTTCTATGGAAAACCAGCAGTCCACACAAACTTATGCCTCAAGATCTTTAACTCAATGAGCATTCAGAAACAAAAAAGAAACCACTGTGACTTACCTCACTTCACTTGATGTAACCAGTGCGCCCCAAATCATACAATTCAAAAGCATCTGCCATTCAAATGTATCCATTTTAGAGTGTGCATTTGAGTTGAAAAGCAACGCAGCAGAAGATTCTGTGCAAGACATGCTACTACTGCCAATTGAAAATCTAAAAATTCCAAACACATGGGAGATGGCCAAAGTAGGATTTACTATCATAGTATCATGACTATATTACTTACAAGTAATTTTGATTGCATCAGGGATTTTTGGGTGGAAAACACTCAATGTCTGCACAAACTCTGCAAACTCGATATATCCATTGTTGTTGTCATTGAAAAGATCAAATATCTACATAAGCATGGCAGAACAAAGAAAAAATTGAGGAATGAGATTCCTAATTAATGAAATTAAAGGAAATTTTCAGTCTAGACTTGCTCTATGCGGAGCTAGATCCAATATGTGGTTTTGCACATATAAATAAAAAAGATTAGGATGATAGCCACCAACCATGTAAACCACACACAATTATGCAGTTGTCAGGAGGAATTCTTTGAATTTCTTGCTTGGCTTGTTTGAGGGGTTGTGTTTATAAGCAAGAAGCTGCTAGGAAATGAAAAATCTATGAGCTGCAATATGCAATGAAGCAACCAACAAATTCATGTGAGACTCCTCATAGAGTCAAGGCTGTCTCTATGTTAGCCCAACCCAGTTTTTGTAACATCCTACCTCTGCCTTTGGTATCAAATAACACCAGCCAAGATAGGAAAAAGAGAAAGAACTTGACATATAATAGTTTCAGAGATTTTCTTGAATTGGTATGTAACTAGTGGGAGTTAAAAAATCACATTCTTTTGCAGATAAGCCATCCAGTGCTTTTCATTTTCTATGCTTACAATTCAAGTTCTGGCATTACTTTCACACAAGCAAGTCAGATAAAGTGATCTAGGTATAATTTATTTGAAAGGAAAATTATGACTAATGATCCTCTTTCTAGAGCATCAAGAGAATTACTACACAGATCAATTCATACACTTATTCAAGGTTAAAGTATTATACTAATCTATGACTCAACAAATAAAATGCCAAAGGGTATGGACTATACCATGAACGGAAGATTCATTCACAGTCCAGAACATAAGAATATGGACTTATAACAATTTAGCATAAAAATAAAGAAAGGAAACAAACAAATAGCAACTGGGGTTTCGTGAAAAACCTTGGCGAATTTGATGGGTCTGAGAGAGTGAGAGGAGATGCCAACGAAAGAGAGAGAAGTGAGCGAACTCGTCGTGGATAATTAATCACTTTTCTAATAGTGCCTTTTGAACTATCTGCTAATCGAGAATCTATGTTCATGAAAAATCATCATCTACTGTCAGATCATCATAAGGTATATAACCAATCTTCTTCATTCTTTCATGTAGATTGCAAAGTAAAGAATATATAAGTTCGGACTGATAATGAGACTTATCACCAACCACAAACACATGCACCTTATTTCCAACTTCTATCCAACTGCAACCAGGCTGCTTCTTCAACCCTTTCTCTTTCATTTTCATCCTTATCTTTGCAGCTTCTCTCCATTTCCCAGATGAAGCATATATGTTACACAACAACAAGTAAGTGCCTGCTTTCTCTGGCTCCTCCTCTAAAAGCTTCTCTGCAGCCAGCTTCCCAATATCCATGTTGCCATGAACATTACATCCAGCAAGAAGAGCCCCCCAAACAGATGCTGATATCTTAGTCCCCAGCTTCTCAAGGACATTAAAAGCTTCTTTTAGCCTCCCTGCCCGACCACAGAGATCAACCAAGCATGTGTAATGATCTTCTCTCACTTGTATTGACCCATCTCTAAGAAGCTCATTAAAATACTTTAGCCCCTCCTCCACCAAACCAGCATGGCTGCATGCAGAAAGCAGCCCCACATAAGTAACATCATCAGGTTTGCACCCTAATTTCCCCATTTTATTAAACAAGTTAATTGCCTCAATACCACATCCATGATGTGCATAGGCTGCAATCATACCATTCCAGGAGACCATATCCCTATGGATTGTCAATCCATCTTCAAACATCTTCCTAGCAGTGACTAACTCCCCACATTTTGAATACATGTTTATGAGTGCTGATACCAAGAATGCACATTCCTGATGGACTGTTTTACTTATCATCTGATGTATTTGTTGTCCCTCACTGAAACCAGCTAAGTTACTACAAGCACTTAGAACACTCACAAAAGTTCCCTGATTTGGTTTCACCCCATTATCCACCAGCATTTTTGAAAAAAACATCAATGCTTTTTCATTTTGCCCATCTTGTACATACCCTGTGATCATCGTAGTCCAAGAGATGACATTCTTTTGCGGCATTCGAATAAACAATTCCTGCGCCCGCTTTAAATCCCCATTCTGAATGAAACCAGTAATCATTGTATTCCATGATGGCATGTCCCTCCCTGGCATCCTCTCAAACAATTCAAGAGCCTCATCCAATCTCATATTCTGGGTGTAGCCTGTAATCATTGCATTCCACGAAACCACATTCCTTTTAGGCATCCTATCAAAAAATTCTCGAGCTTCATCAATCATGCCATTTCTTGAAAATCCTGCAACCATTGCTGTCCACGAAATAACATCCCTTTCCGGCATCAAATCAAAACGCGTCCTTGCCTCTTCAATTCTGCCACAGTGTGCCAAAGCCGTTAAAACTGTATTCCAAGATACCACATTCTTCTCTGGCATCCTCTCAAACAACTCCAAAGCCATATCAACCTGACAATTCCGTGCATACCCATCAATCATGGTGTTCCAAGAAACCACATTCTTCACCGGCATCTGATAAAACAACCTCTCTGCTTCCTTAATTTGTTTCAGCCTTATATACCCACTGACCAACGCAGTCCAAGTGATCACATCCTTCTTAGCATCCACTCTGTCAAACAGCCTCCTAGCCTCCTCCATCATCCCACATCTGATATAACCCGTGATCACTGTTGTCCATGTGACAACGTCTTTGTCAGGCATTTCATCGAACACTTGGCGTGCTTCTCTAACTTTCCCATCTTTGCTGAGCCTGGTAATCAGCCAGTTGGATTGTGCCACATTAAAACTGGCACTAAAATCTCTATCAGGCGATGTGATTCTAGGTGTCATCGTGTAGTTCATGGAGTGGTATAGAAACTTGAGACTGCACAGCATGGGAAGAAGAGCCTGAGAGAAACCCATGAGAGGTAATCCAGCTCTGTTGCTAAGATGCATCATGGTAATTGGTAAACGTAACAGAGCTAACATTTGGAGCTATGTTTGGCTCGCCAGAATCAAATGGAAAACTTGCCTCAATTCTCATGCACACCGGTAACCATCAACTCAAAGTTTCAGACAGTTTCTGTATCTAACACCTTTTAGTGGGCAAGGCAACATTTGTTTTTTTGTTTCACTAGATTTTAAATAATTTGATAAAATGGTCCAGAATAAGTTGTGATGAATTTCATGTCCACTTCAAGACCGGCGACGTTAACGCTTTCGGCCGCCTGCTTCTCCTCCTCTGACGAGTCTCGCACTCGTCTTCTGCCCTGCCAAGTTATTAGAGCATTTCCAGCAATGCAGCCAAGGGGAGGGCTGGGGGGGCAAGCCCAAAATCATGTTTCCAGCAACAAAACCCGGCCCGGGCAAGCAGTGGGACCCAGCGAACTGGGTTGGCCCGAGCGCCAAAACTCGTTTTGGGATGACGTCAGCCCTGGCATTCAAATTTTTTTAACGTTGGCACGTGTAGCACACGCGCCAACGTTAAAAAAAAATTGACGCGCCCCGCTACAGTCCCCCAACGGCTCTCTTCCACGTGGCTTGCGCTAGGCTCTCCGATCCGATTTTTTCCAGCAATCCAACGGCGACGATTTTTTGTGCAATAAAAAATTGAAAAAAAATCGAAATTTTTTTTAAAAAATACAAAAAAAATACTGAATTTATTTTCTATAAATACCAACAAATACTCTTCACTTTTAACACCAAATCTTACCCGAAAATCTTATCTGTTATGAATAGTATTGACACGTAGGAACCCAAAAATCTTACCCGAAAATATTATCCAAAATAATTGTTTAAGTAAAAAAAATTGTGAAAAAAA